ACTCAGAAGGAGACAGTCTTCCAGTCTTTACTCCGTGTCAAGCTAATCTAACCGGCNGAGGTGGGTCACGATATGTTCATGGTGACAGCAGAGAGAGAGAGAAAGAGAGAGAGAGAACACTTTTAAAGTTTGACAGCTCACACGTGATTGGCTAAAGGCCAGCATGTCAGGTTGTGATTGGATGAAGACGAGAATGAGCTGGTGGAGCCAAGAGACGGCGGGAAACTGTGCTTGTGACTCAGAAGGAGACAGTCTTCCAGTCTTTACTCCGTGTCAAGCTAATCTAACCGGCTGAGAGTGGTATCCATCTTCTCATATTAGCTCTTGGCAAAAAAAGCCAATAAGGAAATTTACCAAAATATCAATACATCAATGAGAAGAAACCAAGTTAAAATGTCGATTATAGACTGATTTTTTAAGCTGATGCTGATCTAAATCTCTGATATCGATATATATATGTATTTCTTGACTGCAATTTCTTGCCACTTTTTGGCCGATGTAAATATATCTGCAGTCAGCTAAAATCAGCTGATATATCTGCCTGGCCCATCCATCAGTCGAGCTCTAATGTTGATATGTGACGTTTACCTGAGTTGATTGGATTTGAGTGTGGCCCATAGAGTAGTGAATGTATTCGTGAAAAAGTGTTTATCAAAGAGAAAAAAGTTTTGTATATTATATTATTTCATATTATATTATATTATATTATATTATATTGTGTTATATTATATTATATTATATTATATTATATTATATTATATGTGAATGGAACAGTTCAAACCTAATTACATGATTTTCAACAACCGTGACATACTGTGAGTAAATGTGTCCATCATTCTTTTTAAATATCTATAATGTAAGTGATATATAAGCGTTTCGAGGGCTAAATCAATGTAAAGGACTTGTGAGTGACTGCTCAGTCATAGTCGTCGTACTGTACAGACCCAGGAAGAACTTGTTCTCTCCCTCAGAGACGTGGAGAGCGTAAAGGTGTTGGTGGCATCCTTTCAAAGAGCCAGAGTCACACAAGGTATTGGCCCATTATAGCCTGTGTGGGCGAGCTGCAGAGCTTGTTGTCTAGGAGATGAGATTATTAATATATTTCTGACTTTACTCGCTCCACTCCTTTATTTTTAGCTTGGATATTAAGACTGCTCTGTGTCTTTTTTTTTCATTCTGTTGTTATTTTTAATAATCCTTGTTAACCAGGCGTTCATGTTGCACGAGTTCACTCTGGGAAACAAAATGCAATATTTGTGTATTTATGAGGAATCACTCCGGGAGTCGTGACCCCTCAGAGTTTCTTTAGCTTTGCAGAGAAGCACCTGTCCAGGCGTATAAAGCACCTTAAGCTGTAAAGCAGATCCTCCCAGCGCTGTTGTTACACATTTATTCAGCAGCCATAGTATGAGTCAGCTGCAAGACAAATCCATCATGCGCTTTAAGACCCATCCATTTTGACACTTTAACATTATCCGCCTTCTGCCCGGAGGAAGGAACCCTTAAAAATCTCATACTACAGATGTTCTCCCAGATTTATATGGAAGCGCTTGGTTACTGTAATAAGTCAGCCACATAAAGAAAGCCTCAGGCCACAGCTACTCTAAAGGTAAGGAGATCTCAGCAGGAAATACTTATGTCGTCCCATAAATACAGCATGCTGAGTTTCACACTGGGGCTGGAACAATGCTGCATTTACTGTTACACAATAGTGGTTATGCCGGTAGTGTGACCCTTCAGGAATATAAATCCTCTGTGCAGCAGAATCATTTTACCTGTCACTCTAACAGGGTGCTTCAAATAAAACAGGAACTTAAAGGGTTTTCATTTGTCAGAACCACCTGATTCCAGGTGAGACTAATTGTGGCTGAGGTACTTTTGGTTTATGCAGCTACATTTTAGGCTGTGCGTTGAGAGGCGTTGAGAGGAAATGCTCCGAGTTTTATTTTTGTGCATTTTTCAATCATGTAAGATGATGATTGACTGGATTTCAAACGATGACATTATGTGCTGTTTTCCCTGGAGGAATCAACTCTGAATATAGACGCACACATTGTCCTTCAGCTCGTCCGCGGTCCGGCGTGATGCCTGTCAGATTTTGCTGTTGAGTTTTGTCACAGATGGCTGTGTAAAGAATAATTTCAGACTGAAAACTTCCCATAATGAAACAGAGAAAAAAAAAAGTTTTCTCTTGATCTCGCTACTCCACAAAAATAGCTCACCTGCGACTCACTTGTAGCCTGCTTTTAAGACAGTGAACGGAATGAAATCACGTAATGAAAGGTTTGTTAAATGCTGTGTGGGAGGATGCAGAGACCGAAACCATTAAACGCATTGTTTGTAAAATACATATAGTACACTTTGTAATCCTACTGGGAACACTCAGCTGTCTTCTGGAGTGATGAAAAGCCCCCCCCCCCCTGCACGTTGTAGGCATCTCTTAGTGCTATTCCTGTATTCCCAGCAGATATCTTGGTGTTAACTTGACGTAGACGATATTTGACTGGCACACAGTAACCATGTATGAGACTGTGAACTCTCCGAGCTGAAGATGACACGACAGTGTCATCCTCCCACTGGGCCTCATTTACTCACTGGTGCTCAGAACAAACCTCTTTCTGTCTCTTGTGGTTTACATATCTGACAACAAACAGCAGCGCTCCTGAGTGTGCCTAAACACAAAGAACAGTCATATTTACAGGTACGAAGCCAAACATGTAGGATGTGTCTGTGAAAGCGCTTGTTATCAGATAGAGCTATTGGTAATGTAATTGGCATATTATGGGATATTACACTCAGTCACTCTCGTTCACAACCTTTTCCAACTCATGGCCCATTTGAAAATCTGAAAATATGTTGGCGGCCCACATCCGACCTCGTAACACTGCAGAGGCCAATAATAGATTCTCAGGGCACTTTTTATTTGAATGATAATGATCGAACACTCAGGACTGAACTGAGAGCAGGAGAAGCTCCATCGTTTTGTTTGACAGGGGAGAGGTCACACAAAGAAATGATTTTTTTTTAACATTTATAATGTTAAAAGAAGAATGTAATGTAAAAAAAATGTAAAAAGATCATTTAAATTATTTAATTTACATTTTTTTTGTAATTACATTTTTTCACCAAAATTTGCAAATGATTTGTCAGCCTGCTTGCATTACCTTCGCGGCCCACTAGTGGGCCCTTCCCACAGGTTGGAAACCACTGCTCCAAACCAGATTTTTGTTTTTTTGATACACACCAGAAATTTACAGTACGTAACAAATACGTGTAAAACACTTAGAAAATATACAAAACACATTAAGACAAAATAATGTACAAGAATAAGTATACGTACTAGTAATAAAGCAAAGTATAAGAAAGTAAGAACTAAGAACAAAACCTGGAGATTTAGCTTCTTTTTTTTCCATAAATGAATTAATCTCTGGCACTTGAGCCAGTTTCTGAGCAGCTAGTGCCTTTGAGGGAGTCTCCCTGTACACCGACACAAAGACATCTGTAGGGAATAAGCTGAGGCCTGGCATCGAGCCCTGTGGGACCCCAGGGTCCTGGGAGCAGGAGGGCGTACTGTACAGTGTGTACAGTGTGTACAGATTGAGTGATCTAGTATAGCGTTGTTTATGAGATGCTCAAGCAATGTTTAAGGCAGTCAAGGACAACTGCTGAGGCGGGATCTGAGGATCTAAAACAGACTAAAATAGTTGTGGTCCAGACACTGAGTGAGAGGGTTGGCACTCTGGATGGGCTCCATCTCTGTAGTGTTAGAGATGTTGTGTAAAGCTGATTCACCCAGCCCACACCTCTGCTGCATGTGGGAGGGAGCGTAATGAGGGCATCTTCTGTTCACAGGGGGTGAAAGAGAACCGGGATGGGTGAAGGCATTTCTATAGAGACACAAAGAATAAAACAGCCAGGTCTCAAGACAGGGATTTTCTGGAAGGATACTCAGTATATTACTTACTACACAAGCTTAACCTGCTCTGAAGAGTTGATCGTGTGTCTGTGGCCTTTCTGTTTATCTGCAGATTCAGGAGTATCGTATTTTCATCGTTTCATTTTTTAAAAACTGACTGAATAGTCTCTACAGCTCAGAGGTAATTTTTTAATACAGGGGAAGAGAACAAATACATATTCTGAGTCTACAAGCACACTGAATTATTCATAGGAGTCGATATTATTTTATATTATACTGTCATATCAGTGTAATTCACTCCTAACACAAAACAAGCCCACAGTTTGTCAGCCATGCATGATGCAGCTGTCCCTTTGCAAACGTGTGTTGTGTACGGAGTAATGAGCGAATCAACAAAAGCGGAGCAATTCTTATTTTTTTTTCTTCTTGTCAGAATCAGGTCAGCAGTTCCTGAGGTAAAGAACCACACAGACCAACCATTAGTTCATTAGTGAATCACTTCAGTGTTGAAAAGAGACATGTGGAACTTTTATGACCAGAGAAAAAAAATCCAAGCATTTCTGAACACTTTATTATGAATATGCCATCGCACCGGAGGATTGAAATGTAGGCATTTTCATCACAGCCAAGTTTTTGTTTATTTCCTGAGACCTGCTTATTTATTTAAGAGAACATTAGTCAGCAGAACAAAGCCAAGTGAGCTAGTAAAGAGCTCCATTAAAGGCCGGGAAAAGCTTTTGTGTTTGATGGATCCACTTGTAAATAATTGAAATAGATTCATGTTATAGCATGTATGGCTGGTAATATGTCATGGAATCTATCTATCTATCTATCTATCTATCTATCTATCTATCTATCTATCTATCTATCTATCTATCTATCTATCTATGTATCTATCTATAAACATGATAACCTCGTAAGACAGGCTCTGACTTTAGTTTAGACAGTGTTGCCTTCACTGGCCTCAGGAAATTGCGAATGTCTAAAACAAAACTACATTATTCATACCTTTGTCCTTGCACTTCTCTGACCAATTTCTATTGTCAAGTACAGCGACATGACCGTTCTGTTGTACCTCCCACAGGACTACACGCTGACTATGTACTTCCAGCAGTATTGGAGAGATAAGAGGCTGGCCTACGCAGGGATCCCTCTCAACCTGACGCTGGACAACAGAGTAGCAGACCAGCTCTGGGTCCCTGACACCTACTTCCTCAATGACAAGAAGTCCTTTGTGCACGGTGTCACCGTGAAGAACCGTATGATCCGACTCCACCCGGACGGCACTGTTCTCTACGGCCTCAGGTGAGCACTGTTGTTGCCATGAGTTCTCACGTGGTGGCCATTTTTTTCAACAAGTCTTCCCGTTTCCCAGTTAATGAAAACTCTAAACTTCCTCCATGTTTACCTGTTGCCTTGTTGACGTCAGAATAATGTACATTTTCCCAGACACCCTCCCCAAGAATTTGATATTAAAAGTCTTGCTTACTCCTTTCTCTTATAGGTAGGCTTTTAATGTGAAAAATCATCAGGAAATGTTGACTTTTGTTGACGGTAGCTTAACATCGATCACGACTAACCAGGTTTCCACCCAAATGTCGGGCAAATTATTGTGGAGGACCACGGATGTCACAGGAAAAATAATAAAGCATTTCCTTAATTTCATATTTGACAAAAACAGTGTAAAACACTCATTAAATACAAAATTTATAAATTATTAATTCATGAATAAATGATAGAATTTGAAAAACAATTTGAAAAGGCATTTTAAAAACGGGAATACACACCTGGATTCCCTCTTCAATTTCCATTTCCTTTTTTCTGGCTGGTAAAACCAGGCTAATCAATCCCAGTTGGCCATGGGATGCAACAAGCTCTCTGATTGGTTAGAGAGATAACCAGTGGGTGTTACCAGCACTGAAGGCCCAGGGTGTCATGGAAAGGCTAAAAGCAGAAGCTAAATGAATTAACTAATTAACTAATAGGAAAAGAAAAAGCAGCTGGAAAAAAGAAATGGAAATTAAAGAGGGAATCCAGGTATGTATTCAAATCCATTATTTATACGTAAATGAATAAATGTATTTATAAATGGTGTATTAATGGAGTGTTTTGTGCTGTTTTTGTAAATATTTTTTTTTAATCTGAATTAGTTATTGATGGATTAATAGTTCATTTATAAATTCTTTTTTACAATTCCTGTTTTTAATTCCTGTTAAAATATGAAATTAAAGAAATACTTTATCACTTTTCCTTTGACATCACTGCAAGAAAATCTGCAAAAGAGAACTGTTTCCATCCACTACCGTTACGTGAATACGAGGAGTTGGTTCGTCAAGATAAACAGCTGGTGATGCTCATTTTCCAGTTGGCCGCCATTAAACCTCTGCAACAAAAAAGAGAGACGACATAATTAAAGAGCGTCGGTCGAACCTGAAACGGCAAAAATCTGTGTAGAAAACATGATGGAAATATGACATTTCTGTTTGTTTCATGTATTAATGTGAGCATCGTCACAGTCTTCTCTTCGCTCCACACAGATCTGATGTTTCTGTCTTTAAGACCTTTGTCTTCATGACGTCATCTTCATTACAGTAATTCCCACTTCAGTTGGTTCATTATGATAAGACAGATTATTTAAGCATTGATTGTAGATAAAGGCTCATCTTACACTCGCCATTCAAGTGTCTCATATCCTAATGAAATCCAGACGTGATACACTTATATTAACAGATTCTATATATGCATCTCCATTAGCCAGATAGCAGTTTTAGCAGTCGGATAGAATTGGCAGCGTTAAAGATTACGTACAAGTATTTATACATTTTCAGCACTTCACACCCCGTCCCGAGATGGTTTCAGTGATTAGCTGGCAATCCATCTCTAATGCTTATTGGTTGCATTTACTCTTGGCTTGTATACTATCACATATCTATCCAATCTGCACAAGACGCTTGAAGTGGATAAATGTTTTATTTGTTTTCTTGAAGCCTTTTAAACTCTTATTTTTACAACTTAATGGTAGCACAGCAGGTCTCATATCAACTCATATCTTGTAACTCGCCTCATGTTTATTTGAACTGCGACTCGAAAGCCTGATAGTGCCATTAGCAGCAACTGGCAGCAAATTTTACTCTCAAACAAATAATAATGAACATCATCGCAATAACAGGATGTTTGTGTCTCACTCATTATTTGTTCAGTTTGAAAGTAGTTTTATCTTGTTTCTACACGAGACGGAAAGCAAACCCTTCTCCGTGCATTTGCGATCGCATCTTCTTCTATTGTGTTTCGATAATGTGTCTTCATAAACGAACCACACCATTAAAAGCAAGGCCCCCTAAGTGATGTGTATTTCTCTTTTGTTTTCGTTTGAACTCAGAATCACGACGACGGCGGCCTGCATGATGGATCTGAGGAGATACCCGCTGGACGAGCAGAACTGCACCCTGGAAATTGAGAGTTGTAAGTTTAAGCCCCACGTCTTGTGCTTAGTAAAGAAATACAGCGGACAGCTTCAGTTTCTCATCACTTAAAAATATGAACAGCACTCTGATTCTCATAAAAAAAAATAAAAAAAAGTTCTCACACTCCTCATCTCATGAAGACAGAAACTGCACCCACTGCTGAATTGCTTTGGATTTATGAAGCTGTCGTATCTCAGTGAGATTGCTCGCTTCGCCCTCTCCAGTTAGAGCTACTTCGCCTATACAGAAAGGTTTTAACCAGACGGTGATTTCCACGGTAGAGCATGGTCATAATTAGTTCAACGTCATACTTCTTGATGATTTATTTGGCTATCTCTGCTGCCATAAACTACCGACAGTCACGGAGCCCACGCATGTGGTATAAGTCTGTCTGCCTGCAGTGACACACGTCCTCATAAAGATTTACATCTCATGCAATCAGCACCTGCAGCCAGACGAGTATATGTGATCTATAGGATTTATTGTAAATCAGCTGCAGCTATTAGACACCCAGATTTCACTTAAACAAATAAATAAATAAAAAAAAACATGACTGATTTTGGTTCCTGCAGCAAAATGACCCGACTGCGCCTTCAGTGCTGTTCCACTCGTGAGACTCACACCTGAGCTTGTTTTCTACGTCTCTTTTTGCAGATGGTTACACAACAGATGATATAGAGTTCTACTGGAAAGGAGGAGACACCGCAGTGACCGGGGTGACGCGCATCGAGCTCCCTCAGTTCTCCATAGTCGACTACAAACTGGTCTCCAGGAATGTGGTCTTTTCCACAGGTGAATACGTAATTCTTTCTATCTATTATTAGATCCATGAAATAGCTTCCAATAGAGGGATTTTCTCACTTTTGCTAAATGTCGTAGCATTTTTTTTCTAACTAAAATCCAACTGCACCAGTGTTCGTGTTCAATTTAATTCCCTTAAAGCAGCGGAAAACTTAAAATCTCTTAAGTATTCCTTTATAACATGTAATATTCATGGCTAAATAAGCAACATCAAACATAAAACATCTGGTCTCAACTCAGCTAATCTGCTTCATAAGGAGTGTGTGGATGAGGTTTGATCAGATTTGATTGATTGGTGCACAGAACTCTCCTTTTTTCCAACTAGTCACAGTGACCTTTTGACCTTTTGACCTTTTGACCTTTGACTTCCCAAATCAGTTCATCTTTGAGTCCCAGTGGACATAAATGTGAAGAGATTCCCTCAAGGTGTTACATAGATATTGCGCTCACAAGGCCAAATCCTTGTGTTTTGTGAGGTCACTGTGACCTTGACCTTTGACCTTTGACCGCCAAAATTGAATCAGTTAATCCTTGAGTCCAAATGAATGTTTGTGTCAAATCTGAAGAGGTTCCCTCAAGGCGTTACAGAAATATCACGTTCACAAGAATAGTACGTACGCGCACAGGGATGTTTTCTCGTAGCGCTCTCGTCACTCATATTAAAAAGCTGATTGAAAAAATAATTTTTTAGGGCCTTTAAAGTTTCACATGAGGCTCTTAATTACAATAACCATGACCTCGCTCACCAGAACACCAGAACTGGGAATAATAATAGAGAGGCAATTATCCCTTTGTTTCTTGAAGCTCTTGATAAAAGCACGGTGCCTGTGCTTACAGCAGTGTAATGTATTCATGAGGCAGAGCGCCGACAGCATGAATTATTCTCTTATGATACAAAACCTCAGAGGCACCAAAACAGTGATTATTCCCACTGCTGAATTAGTGTCAAGTAGGATGGATACTGTCCGAACATCTCTGAGAGATGATGCTGTGAGCGGTTTTACAGCTCATTACAATCAGGTTCAAGTCTTGATACAAGTAAAACTCTCAGGACAATCTGCAGATGCTGTTTACATCTCACATAATGTCTGGCACACACTGAGTGCACATGTTCAGTCACTCAGTTAGCTTGCAGAAGTAACCATTATAGGGCAACAAGGTCAAATATTGTTTGCATAGACTTTAATGTCACCAGAGAGTCTCAAGTACAATCTTCTCTGCAGTATTGTTCCTATTCAGGTATAAATGAGCAAGAAAATAAGATATTATCAGTTTAGCAGGGCGGCTAACAATTAACATAGATAACAGATGTGTTGGTTTGTCAGCGTTTCACATCCAGGACACAAATTAGACTACAGAATACAGCTTACAGGATTTTTACTTTGTATATTTTTGATGGGATAAGTAAGTATTTTTGTATTCTGCATTGTTGTTTATTTAGTAAATGATACGAAAATGTTTTAGTCAAATTAAAGAAATACTTTGAATAGTTTTAGAGACACACTTATTCACTTTCATGCCCAAGAGATGCCACTCGTATCTGTAAATATGAAGCTACAGCTAGCAGTCTGTTAGCTTAAGTTTAGCTTAGATATTAGCTTTGCATAAAGACTTGACACAGGGGTAAACAGCTAGCCTAGCTCTGTCCGCCTATTAGCACCTGTAAAGCTCTCGAACACTTAACATTTAATTTGTTTAAATCGTACAAAAACCAGGCTAGCTGTTTCCCCTTGTTTTCAGTCCTAGCTAAACTAAGTGATAGCTAGCTGTAGCTTCATATGTATCATGCAGACATTAGTGTGGTATCAATCTTCTCATCTGACTCTTGGTTAGAGAGAAAATAATTTCCCAAAATATCAAACTGTCTGTCTCTTTATTGTGTGTGTGTGTGTGTGTGTGTGTGTGTGTGTGCATGTGTGTGTGTGTGTGTGTGTGTGTGTGTGTGTGTGAAGTAAACATTTTATAACGTTTTATATTCGCTCTGCTTCGTGGTGCTTGCTCACAGATAATCTCAAGGCTAAATTTTATCAGATGATTTGCAATTTAAACCACACTTGCTTGTTTCCATGGTGACGAAACCAGTTCATGAGACCATTGCCATAGGAACCAAAACAAAATGCAAGACATCCCAGTGTTCCTCTTGAATTAAAGAGGACTATTTCCCCTTCACCTTCCCTTTCTCTTTGTGCTGCAGGTGCCTATCCTCGACTGTCTCTGAGCTTCAAGCTGAAGCGAAACATTGGATACTTCATCCTGCAGACGTACATGCCCTCCATCCTCATCACCATCCTATCTTGGGTGTCATTCTGGATAAATTATGATGCCTCGGCTGCCAGAGTTGCATTAGGTATGATGTGTCCCATGCAATAGATTGACCTCAGGTCTGTAGTTTCACCTTCAGACAGATGTCTTTTGTGTTTTATGGTTTTGGACCTATAGGCTCGTGGACAGTGACAACCTCTGTCCCAACACCACAAACCCGACAGACGACAGGAACCAGGATATTACCCCCACACAAAATGATTTTCTTGAAACAAATTATTCCATTCTATAAGATGACATCCCACTGGTATCCATGACATCGATCGAACTGCACTGATATCAACAAATGCATGTAAACAGTGTACATGTGTGACATGTGCATGTGTGGGTATCCTGCGACTGCACTCGAATCAAGGATTCATCTAAATTCTCCAGCCACAAACCAAGAAAAGCAGCTAAATTTTATCTAAATCTAAAATTATTACGTTTCCTTCATTCATGTAGCTTTATTTCAATTTTTATTTACATATGTTATTATAATATCGATTTAGTAAAACTGTCTATATGATTATTATATGAAAACAACGTTATTTCAAACTAAATACTTGCTGCAAACGTACTGCAAAAAAACGGATACTTAAAATATAAATCATTTATTTTAATTAAACACTCAAAAACCAGTTCATTAAATCCCTGCAGCATCTGCACTGGTGACGCCGCGGGGCGGATGATCTTATACTAGAAAATATGACAGGTCAAAAAGTGACACAGCAGTCTTAGTTGTAAGCGAAGGAAACTTTGCATGCTATAGGCTACACTGTGATTACTGGTTCACCTTCTCATACTCTATGTCTCTCTCTCTCTCTCTCTCTCTCACACACACACACACACACACACACACACACTGGAGGATGCAGGTCCTCTTATAATGACTGTCAATAATCTGCATTACTAAACTTTAGTGTATCATACTGTGACGTGCAGCGTCTCATTTTCTGTCCTCTAAACACATCGCAGTGCAAACGCTGCTTGTGTGACATTGATTTTTAAACTGTGCGGCCGAGTACGAGGTAAGATACATCATCACTTACACCGTCGCTCACGTCACGCCAACATTCACTTTGTCTGTAACAACCGCAAATGTTTCAGCTAATGCCTTCCTCAGTGGTCGCTGCAGATGGGCAGGATCAGCTGAGAAACAAAACAAATCATAGAAATAAGGCACATAGAGCAGGGGAAAAGATGATGCAGTGCACTTACTAGCTATTACAGCAAATACAGACTACACAGTGAAAGATTACTTGGATATAAACATTGACAACAACACGTTATAACTTCTACGATCAAGGTGTTGAAAAATCACTCTAAAGCTGCTTTTTCTTCCCAGAGGAGCCTCATTTTCACTCCAGCTCCACATTTCTCTTCAGAATGTGATTTGCAAATCTCTTCTTTCACTTTCCTCTCGGTCAATTGCAAAGCAGCAATTTGACGGTGCTTTGCTGCAGTTGTACGCCGTCGCACTCGCACAGGTAGTGTAACAAACAGGAGATAGGAAGAAAAACAAATAGGTGGCATTCAAGTGGGAGGTAATGAGGATGTTCTGAATTGATGGCTACACGGTAGAAGATGTGAAGCGTGTTGTTACATGGGATATGTTTATGATTGATGCCTTCTCTTCCCCCTCAGAGGCGTTACACAGTAGAAAGAGCATTTGCTGTGAGATTATGTCGAGCTCACGAAGTTTGCCACACTGTGACCTGAGAAGATGATGATGATGATGATGATGATGATGATGATGATGATGATGTTGTTGGGTGTTGTTGGTCAGCACAGGACATTAACAGGGCTTAAACAGGGGATGTGTTGTTATTGGTTGTTCAAACAGTCTGGAAGTAGGAGTTAAAACTGCACCAACAAATATTTTATAACAACAATGGATCACAGGATTATGTATAATGTGAAAGGGGAAGCTGGTAGTGCAGCTGGCAGTCTGCAGCCTCCTGTGTGGTGGTTTTTAGCCTCTTTTAACTCTTTGTTTTGGTTTTCACAGTGATCAGTTTTGGTTCATTCTTACAGCTTAAAATTTGAAAAGTTTGGCTTATTTTGTTGAATGGGTTTGTAGAAAATTATGGGTATAACTCAAAGTATGGTATTGGGGCTAAAATTGAGGTGACGTTCGGGATTGGATAGTGGCTGTAGTGGCGGAAAAAGATTGTGATTCCTTCCTACATTTCAGTCATGTGTGAATAGAAAAATATGAGACTCAAAATAAAAGCATTATCACATCTGTGTGTTCCTTTAAGTCGGTCTGAGGCGGCTGCTCTGTGGTGTAACAGGAGACTGAATTAGATCTAAGACTCACACTTTTCCACTGGCCTCTGGGGCTGAAACAAACACGAGATTCAGTTCATCACTTGGAAAACACCCTACCTCCTCTAATTGCATTGATCTCTGCTAGAAATATTTGTCGTAATGGAAATCCTCATTCAGCATCAATGCACTCAAGCGCTGCGTAAGAAGACGCACCTTCAGTAAACATCAGCAGTGAACAGACTGTGATGAATTAGATGTGGTACATTTGAGGGGGGACCTGGTGATCAGCTGGATGTGGAAGCACCTCCTCAGGGGTCAGACCTGTTCAGGGAACACACTCCTCTGGTTCATCTGCTGTAACGCCGCGTCATTCGGAGGACGTGGCGGCCTGAGACACTATAAGATCGATGCAATTTAGAAAAACCATTTACACCTACTGTAGTATCCAAATGCAAATTCAGTTATGTGAGGATTCACTTCAGGTTTTTTCCATCCTGTCTGCCATTATGGTGGCGGGAATATCCTGAGCAAAACTAAATTTGCAGGGATATCTGTCAGCCGTCATATATAAGCAGTGGAAAATGACGTTTGAAGTGGGACATTAAGAGATCATACTGTGTGTTTACTTACTGGTAGCTCACCAGGTTAAGTGCTTACCATATCTGGCCCTTTGCTGCATGTCATTCCCTCTCTCTCTCTCTCTCTCTCTCTCTCTCTTGAAAATCAATCTTTAAAAAAAGAAATCTCACTAGAGCTCCATGGTTTATAGATTTATACCATTTGCTAAAAATTTTTGCCCAAACAACGGTTGCTGGCGGACTCGTTGCAGCTAGCTAATTAAGCTAACATCAGCATGACGAGTTTGCTAAAAAAAACACTGTCTTTAAGAGGCGTTTTATAATGTTTCAACCTCATTTGTTTTAAAATAAAAACCCTGTAAAAGGGTTAAATACGCTTAAATATGCACATGATGACAACATACACGATATTGTGATTAAAATGATAAAAGATTGTGGCTAAAGCTGCATTTTCCAGGCTGGAAGTTAGCATCCTAATGAGCTGATGATCTATGTTGAAGACATGGGAATAAAGAGAGAATTGTTCTTGACTAATTAGTCCGAGTGTTATGAGGAAAACAGTGAGACCAGATGTTCTAGTTGTTCTAACCTAGCCCGTTTTGGCTAAGTTAGTTTAGCTTACATTCTTGTTTAATTAATGAATTTGCTATTGATGTGCTCTTTGGCCTTTGACGTACGACTTGCGACTGCTGTTGGTTGTAAGCTAGTTAGCCTGCATGCTAATAATTGCTACTTATATTACAGCATAAACATTCCTTACTCTTTAGCTTTCGTGTTTTTGAACTGGAATGCTAACAACACTCCTGCTATAGCCTCACACGCAGCACTTTAATATACAGTTGATAAACTGCAATAAGACAATCGTAGTCATCTGTGATCATCACTTGTTAATCCGTCCGTGTGCTTTTTCACTGATGTAATATCAGAGACAACTGTAAAGTCCACAGTACTGCAGTGAAAACATTTTGTGGTTTGTTGAGTAACCCTCTCTTCTGGGCTCTGAGAGAGTTTAGATTCTTGTTCTTCCCTTTGTTATGCAGAAATCAATGCCATGTTCCCACAGCGCTCTTGACACCCTCACACTTACTGTACAGTGCAACATTTTTGCTTTAATTATGTAAGCCTGAATCGACAGAAATAGACACACTGTCCAGGTTGGTGAGCCGGCCGGGAGACTCAAAAACAACACAGACGCATTGTTGATGGTGCACGTTGTCAGGAGAGTTACAGCCGCTGTTTATTTAATTGCTGCATTTGTTCACTCTACACGAGCTGTAAAACATATAGTGGAGCAGCTTCTGAGTATCTAAGTAAATTGAAACTTTGCAAGAAGAGGCATCCAGGAAATTTCATCTTAACAAATTTGAAGGTTTTACTTTCTTTCTTTTTTTCCAACTGTTATAATCGGGTTTGGGGAAAATGTGTCTGCGGCAGAAGAAGATGACTCATGTTTAGACCTTGACAGATACAGCGTTCTCTCTTCATGAGTTAAACGCATTCTTATTAAGCATACCTTCATTTTAGAGATTGGGTCGTGACGAACTGTTCCACCCCTGTAATTTAACTTGCAATGCAAATGAATTTTAATGAAAGTTGTAGCTACAGAAACCTCTCAAAGAGCCTGTTTTGTTAGCCTAGCAACCTGAACTCCTCACGTAGAGGTCTATCAGCACTATGACCTTTTAATTCACCCACATCCACTCACTCCAGTGGTATGACTGACTGGTTAGTTAATAATCTGAATCCACACCATCCACTTCGCTCTGACTGACACATTACTGATATCAACAGACGGAAACGGACTCAGAATGGATCGTCAAACTGGAATAAAATCTACTTTATTGATGCTGTTTTGTGTCGGTTTTTCACACACGATCCTGATGCCAGTATTAAAGGGGCACACTGCCAATTTCCCTACATGGAGATCAGTCGTATAAAATGTCGTCTGTGGTCCTTTAATTGCATCCGCCCCTGTGAGTGATCGGGTTTGTGCAAAAAAGGTGAAACTACAAGTGAAAGAAACAGACTTTAACCACCTTTTTTTGTGACATTTACATGAATTCACCCACAGAGGATTACATCAGTATCAAGGAGAAGGACTAACTTCTTTGTGCGTGTAAAGAAAAAGGTCAGTGGACTGATAAAGCACAGGTTCCTCCACTGAGACTTCCAGCAAAACTACAGATTACAAAAGAATGTCAACCAGAAATATCGAAAATGCTGTTTCATTCGTTTGTGATTTTTAGGTTTTAGGTTTAACAGGTGTAAGGAGGTTGTCTCCGGAAGACGTCATCTGTGTTGTCACTCTCTCTCTCTACTCTTCTCTCAGGGATCACCACTGTCCTGACCATGACAACCATTAACACCCATTTGAGAGAGACTCTGCCCAAGATCCCTTACGTCAAAGCTATCGACATGTACCTGATGGGCTGCTTCGTGTTCGTCTTCCTGGCTCTGCTGGAATATGCCTTCGTCAACTACATCTTCTTCGGAAGAGGTCCTCAGATGCAGAAGAAGCTGGCGGAGAAGGCACAGAAGGCGAATAATGAGCGGAATAAATTTGACAGGCCCAAGGTGAGAATTACCGCCGTGCACCAGGGAATCCAGTTTCACTTATCAATTCACATAGATTAGCGCCGAGGTTCAGAACAACAGGCCCCGGTCTTGTAAGGTCCACGAGCGATGTCAAGTAAATGTAATGAAGCCAGGATTTATTCGAGGGCTGGATGTTATGGCTTAGATTCATAAAATGACGATTATGTTGTTAGCAGCAACATTAGCGAGAGAGATTAACTGACAACTCGACAGTTTAGTGAGGATTACCCCTTTTATACTGTAACACAGCCACTTTATATTTTGGCTCAATACGTTATTTAATTTGAAATGTTGTGTTGGTACTGTCTTTATTAACTCTGTTAAATACTGATTGATTGGAACTTTTATAAAAACAGTCCACAGCTGCAAATATGAATCAAACTGATATTTATCACTTGTGTGAACATGATGTAAGACAAAGTCACAATTCAATAATCAAATTTTAATTTACATTTTCATGTTTGAAAATGCATCATCACCATGAAACTAGTGATTTGCAATGGGAGCTCCAGTGGTTTATAATTTGCAGTGTACTCAGTAGTAAAACCGTCTGACTGTGTGGTATGTTGTGGTTTTAGTATATCATGATTTTAGTGCAAAACAATAACATTGCAATAACAAATTACGTTCTCATTTAAACAAAGCAGAGATTTAGCGTGAGCACGGTTTGTGACATGTGTCAGTGTTCTTTAAAACTACGACACTGGCTCACTTCAAATCACAGCCAACACTCGACAATCGAGCAGCACGGCCACCTGGAAGATTTACGTTTCAGAAGTCCGTTTCTCACACGGTTTCATTTTGAAGATGGCAGGATTATACTTCAGAATATATTGCAAATTATACTGCATGCCACTACTTAACGTTTTAATCATGACGTCAACAGTCATGATTCATTGTCAAACATGGAAATAAAAATAAAATTTGTGTCTGAGACACCTAGGAGGAAATGAAATGTAAATTTGATGAAATGATTTCAAAGTAATTGTCACACCAGGACATTTCTGAGTCGCTGTTTCTCCTCCTGAACGTCTCTAACGCCTGAACGAAGCTCAGACAAAGGGGTTTGTGTTTGTGTCTCTCCTGGCTAGTCCTTTCTGGAAGGAGGCAATTGCAAGTCTTCGTCCGTTAAACAGTCCAATCAGGTACAAGAGCGTCGTCACTCACGACGGGTGAGTGTCTGTCACTTCCTGTTGTGTCACGTCTGTGAAACCTCGACTGAAACTTTGCAGCTGCGGGGCAAAGTTTGACCTCCTCATCTAACAGAGGAACATGCTTCATCACAGCATCTCTAGCATTTCTGTCATCATCACCATCACATGCACTACCAGCCTCTTCCTCTACCAACCTCTTCCTCTACCAGCCTCTTCCTCTACCAGCCTCTTCCTCTGTGGTGTTTTACCTGTTTATTGTGTGTATGTGTTTGTGGCTTGTGCATCATGCTGTAGGAAGACTGCTCAATACTAAAAATCATCATCACAATACTAACTTAGAAAGTTATTTTATATCTAATGTATCATGTACAGTAATTGAAAAACTATAAATGAAGAATTTTCCTCTTTTTTTTATCTTTCTCGTTATGGAGCTCATTAGTTAATTTACATCAACTCTGAACTCAAACAAAAGCCCAGAGAACAGATACGAACAGACACGTTTATAAAAAGGTTTATCTCAACATTAAAATTAAATTAATTAATTTTTAAATTAAATTAAATTAAAATTTTTAAATTAAAAAATTTTCTCAAAATCAAACAAATGCCAACTTTTGTTTTCTTTGATATTAAAATAATTCTTGTCAAGCATGAAATATTTCCAAAGGTCAATCCACCACTGTGACGGACATGCTCCATTCATATAGATTTACTACCGTCTTCTCCATTAGTACCTGATGAACCAAGCGCAGGATTTAGACACATCCATGATGCAGATTTCCAAAACAGGATTTGTCACAGGACAGGAGACAACAAACTACCTCACAGCTTCTTACAGCACCAACATGAAAATCACATTTCAACATTTATCTTACGCATCTCCTCTGGAGTCCGTCACAGCGTCTGATGAAACTGTAACTTCAGTCGTAAATTACAGGAACAGAAATGAATCTGGAGTCAGAAACATGTCCAGTAGTGATTCGTTTTGGATTTGAGAATTATTCCTTTTAAGAGTTGGAGCAGGTGTGGAAGAAGATTTGAAAATATTTAAATAAGTGAGAAGAAGGAAGGTCAGTTGTCTAGATGATAAAAAGGTCACATCTTTAAATAAATGAGAGTGTATGGCAAAATGCACCAAAGTTGACAGAGCAGGAAAGTAAATATTCACCTTGTCAGTTCCTCTCGTGGCTCGTGACCACGTCGTTATATTGCTGTGTACATCTTGTACCTCTGTTTTCGCCACACGGGTCTGAGTGATTTATTTGTTTTTGTGTGGGAAGATACAGCTGTCGTGACATTAGTATTAGAGCCATCCAGTTCAACCTTGAGCTGATTTGTGAGAAGTGATTTAACTTTGGGACAGGAAACCTGCTTTTGAAGGCCGCTCTCCGTTTCCCGGGCTGTAATCCGTCAGCCCGCGAGGCGCTGTCGGGCCCGGGGGCCTGACGCGTGCCGCACGTGTGTCATCAGTCACCCGAGCCTCGGCCCACGGCCCATTTGTAACACCGCTCCTGTCTGTTGTACCTAGGTCGACTCCCAGGGGAACATTTTGCTGACAACCTTGGAGATCCACAACGAGGTGGGAGGGAACGAGATCACAACCACCGTGAGCGAGACTCACAACTCTTCCTCCATGGTGTTCGACAACTCGGGGGTCCAGTACAGGAAGCCGAGCACGCCGCGGGAGCCGGGTCGCCTCAGCCTGGACAGGAACACACATCTAAAGAAGACCCGCCTGAGGAGACGGTCCTCGCAGCTCAAAATCAAAATCCCAGACCTCACCGATGTGAACGCCATCGACAGATGGTCACGGATAATATTCCCCTCCGCCTTCTCCCTCTTCAACTTAATCTACTGGCTTTATTATATCAACTAACGCACTGATGTTTTTTTAAACCCGTCTCTGTCTCATTCTTGTTTCTGAATGAGAGAAGACGAGACGGAACAACCATAATGAACTTTTTTTTTTTATCGTAGCGAGTGATGAGAGAAGTGTCACTCACAGAGCGTGCATCTGTACATGCACCAAGATTCACCTGCAGAACACGTGTTTTACAAAGACTCTGTCACATGTGGAGACCTGGGACATTGTACAGAACCTCCTGGGTCAGAGCGCAGACGAGACTATTATTTACACTGCTTTAGGGCCGTTATTACAACTGTACCTGTAATTTCAGTATAAAATGTGGTTGTAACGTGTTGCTAACGGCAACACAACTGACAAATGTTCCTAGTATTATTACGTTCCATTTCCACCTGTGGACAAATGTGACTCACACGTCGACATTCGTCGACACGTCACACAGGCCAAACTCACTTTAAGATCTGGAAACGATTTGCACTGAAACCACGCTCGAAGGAATAGTTCAAAAGTTTTTTTGCAGAGAGCGAGACGAGACGATAATGTTTAATGTTTGTACAACAGATATGAAGGTATACCCAGCAGGCAGTTAGCCTAGCTTAGCATAGAGGCAGGAAGCAGGTGGAAACAACAGAGAAGCATTTTTCCAACAAACAAAAAAAATGCCCGAACTATTCCTTTAATTTGCCTTGGAGCTGATGCCACCAACTGCTCACTGCCGTGGAACTGCTGTGACCTTGCTCCTGTGACGAACAGCGGCTGAAACTCTGTGTCAGGACGTCAGACGTGACTGATTTCAAAGCCCAATTTTGATGAACAAGAGAAAGGCTGATGGAATCCATACCAGCATTTTGTAAAATCATCGCTCTGTCATCCACTGCCGCTATTTAAAGGAATCATTTTCATATTTTGGGAAATATGCTAATTCACTGCATTGAAAACACCACTCTCAGCCAGGTGTGTGTGTGTGTGTGTGTGTGTGTGTGTTTTAATTAGTGAGCTTTAGGGGATCTGGTCACTGGATTTTGTTACTTTTGTACCGGCTAGCTGTTTCCCCCTGTTTTCAGTCTTTATGCTAAGCTAGGCTAACTGGCCGCTGGCTATAACTTCATATTTAATGTACAGGCATGATGTATGGTGTCAATCTTCTCATCTAACTCTGGGTGAATGAGTGTATTTCCCAACATATCAAACCATTTCTTCCACATTTACGATTATCCGGTTGCTATTGCTTTTCAGTATTCAATAAGAAATGTCATATACTGAGAAACAACCGGACAACACACTGTACGTGTCACATGACAGTAGAGAAACAGGATCCCAGGCTTTTGTAGTAAACATGTACAATATCGGATCAGTTTACACTATTCATTTTATTTATTTATTTATTTATTTTGGTCATTGTGTTTTCAGGACTGCTGTCACGATATATTATTATATATATTGATTTATTCAATACAAAATAATTCACATGGCGACTTCCTTCCTCCGCTCAGACTGCATGTTGTGTTTGGGAATGAGTTCAGACACACTGATGCACGTCTCACGTCAGACGTTCTTGATCCTCCCTGAAATTTGATGTACATACTGTAACTGCACTTTTTCTTTCAGCTCAAGTTAATTACATGGCTGTGTTGTCAACAATGTTTTTGCTCAGTGATTTCCGGCCTTGCTGTTTTGTTTTGTTAAGTCTTTACACAACATTATCATTTCCTATTTGTGTTGTAAATATAAAACACAGTATCACAGCTTGTGATCATTTCCATTCTTTCCTAAAGGAGAAAGTAGAGTAAGTGAAGAAGGAATCAAGGGTACGTATATATATATATATACAGAGTACTATCTCCAAAACGACGACTGTTGGCGTACACAGCTCGCACCGCACCATCTGCACCGCTTGGCTGAGCGTGTCGGAGTGACACCACCTGCCGGGGGTCGGCTCTGCGTGCGGCCGCCTGACAGAGGCCCAACATCCCGTAGCAAAGCAAGAACGCATCACTAATGTACCAGCGCTCAGCAACACTTTCCTAACCAGCGTGCAGGCCTGAAATATTAACTATACTTGAATTAACATCATGTTCCTTTTTAAAATTTGTTGGTCGGTTTGTTGCCAAGAACACGACCACTTCAACTGGCTTCATCTGGCTTTACTGCACCGACTCTGCAGAGACACAACAGCAGGTAACAGGAAGTGCTTTTCTTTAACACCGATTTAAGTTTTAATTTATTTGTCAACAATTATAACACAGTAGCAGAGTTGTAATAAGTCAAGGTAATGTTTACATATGTACACATACTGTGTGTTCTTACATCATATGTACATATATTTCATCTATGGAAATTGAATATATGTACATATTTCACATTTGCATATCGGATAAAGTTTTACTGGTTTAGGGTGAAATAAAATGCACAGAAACAAAACAGTCTCATAATAATGAATAATACTGAATAAGGTATTAACCTGCTCAGTGACTAAAAGGAATGAACGACCCCCCCCCAGGCTGATGGGAATGGCGCCATTTAAGGTCATTAAGTTTCATCATCTGGACACTGTGAATGTCTGATGTTTGACTCAAAATCACAAATCAAACCAAACAGTGTCTCCAGAGGAAAAGTCCGTAGGTTTTATCCACTTGGGACCATGAATGTTGAATGTAAAACTTAATGGTAACATATCAAATACAGTTCGTTCCCGCCCTTCACGTGCCGTATAGAGGAGGTCTGTGTTTTTTTGCAGATTGAAACGACCGTAACTATAATAAAGACATGATCCCTGTTTTATTGGGTGTGTGTGTATGAACACCACTGAGGTCACGGCGCAGCGGCTCTCAAACGATAATGAATGATGATTTTCATAACCTGCAAAACAACTGTAACCCTGCTGTTAATCATTCATTAGTCGACTACATTCTTCATTTATCCTCCCTGTCCTTTCTCTGCTGTTTTACATTTCCATTCTAATTTCATTTCTGTCACTGCGCCTGTTTGTTCCTCGTTCCCCCGCTCGTGTTAACGTTGTGATTGGTGTAGTGTGGGATGAATGGATTGGAGAATTTCGGCCGCGTGATACGCCGGAGCTGCAATAATTCAATCCGCAAATTACATCTGATTTATAGAGCTGCACTTCAGATAAATGAAGAGCATGTGTGTAGTTCGCCGTGCACCGCGATGTGACACACGAGCGCCAGATTTTAAGACGCCTCTTTTTCTCTTAATGTTACTGTGAAATCTGAATTCTCCAGCCTCCAGTCCTCTGGACTCTTGATTAAATGTCTTTGTTCTGGTGACAGATGAGATTAATCAAACCCCTGTAACGGTGGTTGGATGTAAAGACTATGATTGAATGAAACAGGGATATTGTGCATCTTGTAGTTCCCCCTGTCCTTTTTCTAATATGCGATCATATTTTAACGAGTGTGCTTCTGACTTTGTATCAGTAGTTTTATTCCTGTTTCGACATAATGTGCAGAGTCAGGTCCAGATTATATTCAGTTTTACGATTCGGAAGTTTTCTGATTTTTGCTTTTACAGCGTCGTCGCCCAACATCAACGAGCAACCTCTCTAATGCTGCTGTGGCTGAATGGAGGCAAATCCCTGCAGCCAGGTTCCTACATCTGACCGAAGGACTGAAAGCAGACGACTGGAAGCCAGCTCCATCTTGGCGCCTCAGCCAGGGCTGGAGGGGATATGTTTAGGTCAGCTGGTTAGAAACAGGAAGAGCAAGAAAGGAGACATCGAGCTTCCTACATGTTTCGCCTGCTTTCAGTTCAGTCCTGACTGTCCGAGCGTTACCTCTCAAGTAAAGAGTTCAAATAGAAAACATTTGAGATTTTAAAAGTGGGCCATGAGTTGGAAAAGACTGAGAACCGTTGCTCTCTTTTCCTTAAAGCACTAAAGTTACATGGTTCTTTCCAGGACACTTTTCCAGCCTCACCAAACAAACCTCATCAGCTTATCTTAGTGCCGTTTGTAAGAAGAGAGAGCCGCGCAAATGATGTTCAGAAAGAGGCCACTCGCTCATTTTTTAAAATGTATTGTGCATCATTAACAAAGAGATTCATGCTGCCAAACACATCTCCAAACCTCCTGATACAAACTAAGATTTAAGCACAAAACAAGCCCTGAAAAATGTCAACCAATTACTGCAGGATGACAATGAAACTGCAATAAAGATGCCACATCAAAGCAGGCGTGCGGTATATTCAGACATGACAACTTTTAGAGAAACAAAAGGCTTCCTGTCTGATAAAAGCCCCTGAGGATGCTGGACAGTAAACCCTCCTCGAAAAATGCCGCTTTGAGGATCTGACTGTATAATTAGGGTTTTTACAAGGAAACTGACAGATGGGCGGGTGAGAGAGCGTCACTCATAAAAAAAAAAAAAAAATCATCAGGCATTACAGATTTGTTCAGTAATTGGCATTTAAATCAGGGATCAGATGGTACAAGGCAAGTAAAAGAGAGAGCGCTCCCTTCAGGGAATCTTAAAGGAGAACGCTGGAATGACTGAGATGACGTACACAGATATTTTTAACCCCGAGATAAGAACATAACACTATAGATTAAGGAATAAGTGAATTACACTGTTGGGCATGGAAAACAAGTTATGATTTGTCCTCAGACAATGAGCCTCTGTGTGTGTGTGTGTGTGTGTGTGTGTGTGTGTGTGTGTGTGTGTAATAAAAGCAATAAAGGAAACAAATCAGAGACTAAATTGGGCTTTTTTGGGAAACTATGAGGAAGATAATTAGACCGAGGCAATAATAAATTTCTGGATGTAATGAGACAGTTTGAAAATCTGTAGATTCACAAAGGATAATTAATCTAAACGAGTGATATTAAAACTGGAGGCGGGAAGAAACAACAGCAGCTGCGGTGTGAGTAATCCCCTAAGAGCAGGTGGACCAATAACCAGGAGCCAAGGTTGCCGACACAAATTGGATCTCCAGGTTCATCAAGGAAGCTCTTCATCACCAGCGGAGCGTGAGCACTCCGCGAAGAAGATGTATGATGCTGATATCATCATAGGCAGCCTCATCCTGCACGTCCTGTGATACATCGGGGAGCATTTGTGGAAAATCTGTCCTGTGAGAAAATACAACCACATGGTGTAAAATGTTTCCCAGTCGTTCAAAAACACCTCCTCCTTCAGATGATTCACCCTCAGAACAAAGTCGAAACTTCCTCTCCATCATGGAGAAAGTGAACAGCTTT